TTTTGGTTTTTTAGTTTATGGTGGTGGTGGTAGTGTGCCATGGAGTTGGTTCTGACTCATAACCACCATGTACAGGGTTTCCAAGGCTGTAAATCTTTATAGGAGCAGAAAGCCTCATATTTCTCCCACAGAATGTCTGGTAGTTTTGAACTGCTGATGTTGAGGTTAGCAGCCCAACTTGTAACCACTACAATACCAGAGCTCCTTTTTTGGTTTATACTACTCCAATAAATAAAAGTGAAGAGGACTTAAAATATTTACTGATGAAGATCAAAGAGCACAGCCTTCAGTATGGATTACATTTCAACGTAAAGAAAATAAAAATCCTCACCACTGGACCAATAAACAACATTCTTATCAACAGAGAAAAGACTGAAGTTGTCAAGGACTTCATTCTTCTTGGATCAACTATCAATACTCACGGAAGCAGCAATCAAGAAATCAAACAACATATTGCATTAGGCAAATCTGTTGCACAAGACCTTTTTAAAGTGTTGAAGAACAAAGGCGTCAGCTTGAGGACTAAGGTGCACCTGACCCAAGCCATGGTATTTTCAATATCCTCATATGCATGTGAAAGCTGAACAGAAGAATTGATGACTTTGAGTTATGGTGTTGGAGGAGAATATTGAAAGTGCCATGGGCTGCCAAAAGAACCAACAGATCTGTGTTGGAAGAAGTGCAGCCAGAGTGCTCCGTGGAGGCCAGGATGGCCAAACTTCGTCTCTCATACTTCAGATATATTGTCAGGAGGAACCAGTCGCTGGAGAAGGAGATCATGTTTAGTAAGGTGGCGGGTCAGAGAAAAAGAGGACTACCTCCAGCGAGATGGATTGACAAAGTGACAGCATCAATGGGATCAAGCATGGCAACAATTGTGAGGTTAGTCCAGGACCGGGCAGTGTTTCACTCTGTTGTGTATAGGGTCGCTATGAGTAGGCACTGACTCGATGGCACCTAACAACAACAACAACAACACTCCAATAAACCTTATTAGTATAGTAGGGTCCTGCTTCAGTAAAATTGCTTGTAAGACAAAAAGTTATAGCTTAAATAAAAGTGTTCACTTTACAAAATGATTCTTTGTTTTTGTGATAAATATACTTTGAGTATTATGGGTTAGAACTACCACTCTGAGTATACATTTTCTAACCCAGTCTTGACAATGGTGCCTCTTTAAATGGAAGGAGTACAACGACCAGGAGGTGACTCAACAGGACTTTTGGTGAGTCAGATTTGGATGGTTAAGTGAGAAGAGGGATACAGAAACATAGGATGCTGCAGATGACGTCTAGATTGCTGGCTTAGGTAAATAAGATCATGCAATGAATTCAGATGTCTAAACATGCTGTTCTCTTGATGGGAATTTCCTTTTCTTTTTGCATTCCTTGTTTGGATTTCAAAACCACCTTCTCTGTCTTTATTGCATGTCACTTATATCTTCACCAATTATTGGGCTATATGGAATCCTGGTGTGGCACTGTGGGTTAATGCGCTGGACCGCATACTCGGTTTGAACCACAGATGGGTGGTACAAGCTCACCAGCCAATCCTTGGAAAGCCTTGGACAGGGTTGCTTTGGGCAGGAAGCGACTTGACGGCACTTAACAACAACAACAACAACAATGGTCCTATACTAGTATTGGAGGTTCTTGAGAGTAAATACTGTTTCTTTCTTATCCCACAGTGTCTTACACAAAGAAAGCATACAGTAAATTTTTGATAATACATGAGTAAATAAAAAAAGTTACTTTTAGTCCAGGTTTTCAGGAAGGATAATCTTAAGACATATTTACATCAAAGAATGTAAGTATAAGCATAGAAATGTCATAAAATCAGAATGTTTGGGAATGGTAAAGTATCCCTGAAAATTTCGATCCAAATTCCTCACTTGGGATAAAAAAATCAACAGCAGAAGATTTTCCAAACTTTTCTCTATTCATATTTTTCAGACCATGCCTCTTTATTTACCTATAAAGAAACGCAACATGGATATTTGGTGTTTAAATCAATGTGTAATATTACCATAAAATGTAAAATGCATAATGCAGACACCAACGTTCTTGGTGTATGGACACATCACATTTAAATAATCTAAAGGGTAGATTCACATGCATTTAATACATTTATGAATATCTTCACTTCAACAATTTATTAATTGCTACTAAAATACCATAGTCCTCTGCTAATATTTTCTAAAGTTACTTTAGATACTCTGGTAGCGTAGTGGTTACGAATCGGGCTGCAAACCTTAAGGTCAGCGGTTCGAAACTACCAGCCGCTCCGCGGGAGAAAGATGAGGCTTTCTACTCCCGTAAAGATTTACACCCTCGGAAACCCTGTACAGGGTCGCTATGGGTCGGAACCGACTCGACGGCACTTAACAACAACAACTTTAGATACATACTTTTGGTTTTCCTATAATTAATATTGTGATTTTTTTAAAGCACATGCATTTAAATTTTTTAATTAAAAAAATTAAGACGAATATATTTGAATATATTAATCCATTTATATATTTTAATTCTTATAGTAATAAGTAATTCTTATAGTAAATAGTAAATGGCCTCCCTTTATACAATTAGCATTTTAGTGCAATATTTGGAAACTAAATATTAACACAAAATTTTTAACAGTTTCTAAACATACCACTTTATTTTGCCATGCACTCCAACATTAGAAGTTAGCAGGGCTCTTTAAAACTAATGCTGCTAGCATTTCATTGACTCACACGAAATCGGTCCCTTGATTACCCAGTTCATTTTAACCATCACCCTCCACAGCTGTACTGTTTTATTCAGCCCAGCCCCGGCCCTGCTTCTTGCTTCCACCCTTTCTGTCTCTTATGAAGCAATAGGGGAGAGGAAAAAAACCCCATTCCTTTAAGAAAGATTCCGCCTCCTCTCTTATAAGCCAGCGCCTAATGGTAATTGTGGAGTCTCTACGAAGTCACACACTTTACTACTCAGCATTGGAGGAAGCTGCTGCTCTGCTGCCGGTCTGAGGCTGCAGTTCGTTTCTGTGCAGCACTGCAGAATCCACACCTAGAGAACAGAACACACTCTCTCTCTCTCTCTCTCTCTCTCTCTCTCTCTCTCTTTCTCTCTCTCACACACACACACACTTACACAGCTACAATCCTGGACAGGAGCAAGCCTTGGATCCTCAGCGGTAAGCAGATCTTTTATCCATTTTATCCAGAAACTGTGGGAAAAGGAATAATCATGGAAAAGGTTGTTCATCAGACATGCTTAAAATGGATTATAGTAATTTGTCTTCTTTTGGTGGGGGGTGATTTAGGTTTGTAACTGGCAAATGCTCTGTATAGTGGAGACTATCATCTGACATGTGTCTTTAACAGACTTTTTGGGGGGCTATTTATAAAAAGGCTAACCTTAATGCATGCAAAGTTTTCCATTTTTGCCTTTTTTTTAAATATAAGAGCACATTCAGCCACTCCCAAGCTCTCTCCCAAATACTGCAGCTATTTTTAAATGCCAAATAAAATGACAGGCTGAATTATTTTCTAAATATTTTTTCCTTCCCAAAGCCAAGAACCCTTACCCATGATTTTTAGGGGTGTGTAAAAATCCTCAGGCATGGTTAGGCTTGAGCAGATGGGAGATGGTGGCAGACTAGAATTCCTACAGCCTTAGTCCAGTGGAGGGAGAAAACGAGGATAAATTAATCACAGTTTGCGCTAAGACAAGATTCATTTTTCCACACTTCATACGTGGGAAGAGGAAACTACATTTTAATTAGTACATTTTTAAGAGATGAGGGAGGAGATGAAGATGAGGGGGATGGCCTTGAAGCATTTGAGGGGGAAGAGGAGTCTGCAGAAAAGGAAGGAAATGAAGTGGGTCGTCACCAGTGCATTGGGAATGAAGAGATAAGGGTGGAGAATGAAGTTTGTAGTGTGTGTTCGGGTGGGGTTGACCCAAGAGACCATGAATAACCAGAATGGCGCTGGGCGGGGTGTGCTTGCCAGTGGGTGTGGGAGACTTGTGTTCGTGCCCGTGGAGTGGAGGACATGTGTGTGGGAGGGATGTGCAAGTAGTGGGTCCACGGTAGAGAAAGGTGTGCGTGGCTGGGAGGTCTATTTCGAGAAACAGTTGGGGCCAGCAAGGCGTCTGTCGGCGAGAGTGGGCGGCCCAGCGTCACCTGTGGCTGGATCAACCCTTGCAATTGCCTCGTTGCAAAGTTTGCCCCGATTCATTTTGAAGGCGCTTAGCAGTGCCTTGACTTTTTACCTCCAAGACGTCTGCTCTCGGAAGGTCACGAGGTAGGGGTCAAAGCAATGGTTGGTGAGGGAGGGAGATGGGGGTAACCCTCGACGTGTGTAAGTGGAGTCCGATTTAGAGCCCCCAGCCTGCCGTCGGCGGAGGAGGCGTTGCCACAAGCTGATCGGAAGAGCAAGGCCCTATTTTACTGGGGCGTGCAGGGCTGAACCTCAGTAGTGGTCGGCCTCCCTTTGAAGACTAAGCCGCCAGTGTGGGGTGCTAACGCGCCGGCTCAGCCTCAGGAGTGGGGAGCTCGCTCAGTCAGGTCCCGGCGGTAGACATTTCCGAGGCCCCTTTCCTTCCCTCCCTGGTTTCCGTAGGGGTCGTTTCCCACTCCAGCCCTCAGGGGATGCCGCGGGTCCGTGGGGGAAGAATACGGTGAAGGACTCCAGGCGTCCTTCCTGCACCAAGCGTGCAGGCGCCCTCGCCACCCCGAGGCTGCGGCCTGGAAGATTACATGCTTGCGGGAGGGGAGGGGGTCGTGGAGGGCGGGGCCGGAGCGCTCGGGGCGGGGCCAGGGAGAGCTCAGGGTCGCGCCAGGCGGAGGCCGGGCCAGGGGCTTTCGGTGCTTGCACGAGGCGGGGCCCCGAGGGGCGGGACCAGGGAGTTCTGGGGCTCGTGGGGCGGGGCCAGGGGCCTCGGGAGTGCGGGAAGGCGGGGTCATGAGGGCTTGGGGCCTGGGGGCGTGGCCCAGGGCGGGGCTAGAGGACGCTCGGGGGGCGTAAGGCCAGTCCCGCCAGGGCGCGAGCCGCCAGTCCTTAACGGTCGCCTGGGTGAGGGGCGGGAGGTGAAGGAGGAACTGAGTTTAAGTTATATTTTTGAAACGGAGAGTGAGTGCTAGAGAGGCATCGGTGACCCAGGTGTCGCCGTTTCCTGCCACCCGGGGATCGCCGCCCAGGCCCCTCCCTCCTCACGCCCCTTTTCCTCCCCTCCCCTTCCCTCCCCTCCGGAGCCGTGCGGTGCTCGAGAGGCGGCGGCAGCGGATCGGTGGCCGCTGCAACCCGGCAGCCGCTGAGCAGGAGGGAGGGAAGCACAAAGCCGCCTGCTTGCTGCGAGGTAATCCCGAGGGGAAGGAGGCGTTGGCGCCGTCTCTCCTCCCGCTGGGGACGGCGGTGCTCGCGCGGCTGCTGCTGCGGGAACCTTCCCAAGGCGTCTCGCGGGGCTGGGGTTGGGGGGGGGGGGACGGACTTCCTATTGGCTGCCCCGGCGGCCTGGGGCGAACCCACTAGGACCGAGGGGCGGGAAGGGGAGTACGGACAGGGCGCGAGGAAAGTCCCTGTGGGAAGGCCGAGCGCGGTCTAGCACCCGCCGCTTGGCCGGGTTTCGAACGTCCTTCCATTTCCCCCGGGAGTGTGGGGAGCTCTTCAGAAAGGCTAATCCTAGCTGACGCTTGAGTGATCCCGGGTCTCTAAGCCCTCCCTCCAGGTGCTCTCCAGGTGGCGGGTGGGAGGTTCCCGCTCTTGGAAAAGGTGTTCAGTTAAATGGAAAAGGGAAGGGAGAAGTGTTGGTTTTGTTTTGTTCTTACCCTGTTGTTTAAAATTGTCTGTTAAAAGTTTAAAGTGTTCAACCACCTTTCTTCTCTAATCCGCTCTCCCCTCCTCATCACTAACATATACACACACACCTACACCCACAAACATATACTCCTTAGGTTGAGCTTCTTGCCCTGAGTGACAGGGAGAAGTTGGCAGCAGGTCCGGTTTGCTGGTGTTTGGGACACATCCAGCTTCTTTGGAGGCATGCTATTATAGCCAGGCAAGACCAGAGAGATAGGAAGAATAAGCCGGGCCTCTATTAAAATGGCAAGAATGGCCTCAGGTGAACTTTTTTGTTGCAGAGATTTAATTGCAAATAGGTGCCCGTTTAAAATTCAAGTGTAAGTAAAACCACTAATTTCCTTGGCACTTGTGATGCTGCAATTGACCTGCTGGAGTGATATGGATTTTAACTAAACCAAGAGGTTTTGAGTTAAATTATGCCAGGCTTTGGGAGGAATTGATAAAATTCTAGGGACTGGGACCAGTTACATAAATGTGTGTATTTAAATTGTATGGCAGTTTAGATTTCGCGGTATGAAATGGTTGCTTTTCTTGGGATTGATTCTGTCTACATCAGCTGTGTACGTCCTAATTTTGGTCAGAAGATTACCAGTGAGGGTGTTGTTAGAGAGGATAAAATGAAAAACCTTAATTTGACTTAAAAAAATTAAGATGGTTGGATATTAAAAAGATGTATGTAATTAGGGTACGTGGCCAACCCATTTATTTATAAGGTTTAAGTTACATTTGGAACATACATAGAATGTTTTTATTTCTAAGTCATGATTGCACTGTAATTGAGCTGTAACTCATTTTCCTGTGCTTAAATTGAGCAGATTAACTTTACAGAGAAAGCAACAGAAAAAAAAAAAAAAAAAAAGCTACTTTTGCTTCATTTAACTCTTCAACTTCCAAAGAGGTCAGTCTGTGCTAACACTTAACAGTTGACTTCAGATGCTAGTGTGTTGGTAAAACTCATATAGAAACAACAGCAACAATCAAAAAACTGATGTATTTTCAATGTTAAACATAGTCGTAGTTGTTGAACTAGTTGATTATTCAGTATATTTCAGCTTTTGACATGTATGATAGCAGGGAATGTTTGATGGCACATGTTTGACATATGACCTAGATGATCTGGCAATATCACCTATTTGTTTGCATGATAAAAGGATTATAATTTCAGGTGTAAGTTTTAACCATTAACTGAAAATGAAGAAGAACATTGTCTTGTATGTACACTTTGCTATTTCTAGCGTCTTTTTTCAATGATGTTATTATGTTGAGATGAATGTGCATGTCCTCAATGATGCTTAAAGGGTAGATTTGGTCTTGTAAAATAAGAATGCCTTTGGAGACTAAGAGGACATTGTTGTTGCTAATTGCCATCGAGTCGATTCTAATTCATAGCAACCCTGTATAGGGTTTCCGAGGAGCAGCTGATGGGTTTGAAGCACCAACCTTGCCATTAGCAGTCTAGTGCTTACCCTATCATGCCAGATTATGACTTCAAGAAGACTTAGCATAGCATCAGTATAATAACTGCTGTGGTACTGTAGGAGAAGCACTGGACTAGCAGTTCAAACCCACTAACGGCTCTCAGAAACCCTATATAGGGTCACTATGAGTTGGAACAGTCTGGAGGGCACACAACAGTGGTAACACACAATTTTAAAACCTAGATACAGGGTATGGTTGTGAGGCTTCCTGGAAAAGGTCTATCATTTGTATTGTTGTCATTCCTGGAGTTCTGGTATGTTGCTGCAGGATAATGTACTGGACCACAAGGTCAGTTTGAACTGTAAGATCGGCATTTCAAGAACACCAACGGCTCCTCAGAAACTCTATACAAGTTCGCTGTGAGTCAGAACTGACTTGATGGCACCTAACAACAACAAACAAACAACACTCCTGATGTGGTGCTGTAGGATAAGCACTGGACTGCCAACTGTCAGGTTGGTAGTTCAAACCCACCAGCCATTCCTCAGAAACAGCATTACTATGAGTTGGAACTGATTCGGTGGCACTTGATAATAACACATACCCACCAGGAGTAGCCTCAATGACTCAGTGGTTAAGAAAAAGGTTGGCAGTTTGAACTCATCAGTCCTGTTCTTGGCATGTAAATCATTCAAAGATTTACAGCCTTGGAAACCCTACTTGGGTAGTTCTACCTACCCATATAGTTTGAAATCGACTCCATGCCAGTGGGCTTTGTTTTTTGGGCCAAGTCTACCAGATGGTAAGGTAGGTAGTTTTGCCTGTCGCAAAGCAGTTGGTTAGCAGTACTGGGCAGCGCATGTGCAAGTGATCAGCGTATAAGAAGCATTTCTGTTGAGAAAAACCATGTAAAATTTTGGAAATTGAACTGTGAACACAGAATTTATCAAACGTTGGAAAACGATTGTATCAGAACCTTAGGTTAAGTTCGTCGTATGTAAAGTGCTTAGAATAGAATCTGGAACTCATTAAGTACTTTATATGTGCATCATAATCCTCCTATATAAAATTACATATCTTGTTGAAGGCAGTTATACCATGCTGCTCAGGAAGCAGAGAGTCAGCATGTATTTACAAGAGCTAATATTTATTTGCTCTACCTCTGTGCCAGGCACTAATCTAAGAGTTTCGTATGATTTAATTTCCTTAATCCTCACAACAACCTAGTGACCAAACAGAGTCATGGAGCGGCTAAGTATTTTGCCCAAGGCAGTCACCTACTTGGTGGCACAGGCTCCATCTGAACCCATAGTTTGTCTCCAGATTCAGTTCATGTAATCATCCGAACCTGCTGCTATCATGCTTGTGATAATATAGACAGTCTCCGGTTAGGAATCAGATCACTTCCTAAGCGTGTCTTTCAGTAGACATTTTTAAGTCACAACAGGTGTGTATGGATGTTATTTTTACAAGAAAAAGGAGATCTGGGGGCGATGTAGGATAAGCACTGCTAACTGAAAAATTGGTGCTTCAAACCTACCTGTGGGAGAAAGATGAAGCTCTTTCTGCTCCAGTAAAGGTTCTCTACTTCAGAAACTGCAGGGAGGGTCCCTGTGAGGCAGACTCGATTTGAGGGAGTGGCAGTGGGTTTGGTTGTTTTGGTTACGGCAAGAATATAAACCCTAGTGGCACTGTGGGATAAGCACTGAATGCTAACCACAAGGTCATTGGTTCAAACCATCAGCCACATCTCAGGAGCTAGATGAAGTTGTTTGCTCCTATAAAGGAAACCCTGTAGAACACTTCTGCTCTGTCCTCGAGGGTCCATATGAGTCCAAATCACCTTGAAGGCATTGGGTGGGGTTAGTGCAAGAAAAAGGAGCCCTGGTGGGTTAAGTGCTGACCAGCTAATGAAAGGTCATGGGTTAGAACCCATCAGCCATTCCAGGGGAGAAAGCTGAGGCAGTCTGTTTTCTTGAAGATCTGGTGATAGTGTTGGTGTTTGTGCATAGGGGTTCTGAGGCTATAAATCTACGAGAGCAGAAAGCCTCATCTTTCTCCCACGGAGCAACTGGTAGATTTGAACTGCTGACCTTTTGGTTAGCAGCCAGCTCATTAACCTGCAGTGCCACACCAGGACCCTGTATAGGATTTACTCAAAGCCTTTATAATCCTGTAAAAGCAGCAAGTGAAGGTAATTGTGGTAAAGAATTTGTGTTGTGAGTCCTGGCTCTGTAGGATAAGCACTGGACTGCTCACCACAAGGTTGTTGGTTCAGATCTACCAGTCATGCTTTGGAAACCCTATGAAGTCGGTTCTGACTCAGCTACCCTGCATAGGACTTCCAAGGCTATAAATCTTTATGGGAGCACAAAGACTCCTCTTTTTCCTGTGGAATGGCTGGTAGTTTTGAACTGCTGACCTTGAAGTTAGCAGCCAGACTCATAACCACTGTGCTACCAGAGTGCCTTATACAGCAAGGGTGGGGAACCTTTTTTCTGCCAAAATTTATACCATCATTTACGGGCCATAGAAAATTCTCAACTTAAAAATTAACCTGTAGTATTTGGTCAAACATTTAAGTAACTCACCTCTAATGTAAGGAGTCCTGGTGTGGTGTTGTGGGATAAAGCACTGGACTGCAGGGTTGGTTGGAACCACAAAGTCGGCAGTTCAGACTCACCAGCTACTCCTTGGAAACCCTAAACAGGGTTGCTATGGAACAGAAGCAACTTGAAGGCACTTAATAACAATAACAGTCTGATGGCAGGAACTGCTGTTGCCTTAGCAGGACCAGACATTCCCCATCTCTGCTATAAAGGGTCATGATGTGGCATTGCAGGATAATGCACAGGACTGTAAGATCGGTTTGAACTTCAAGATCAGTGGTTCAAACTCACCAGCCGCTCCTTGGAAACCCTATACATGGTTGCTATGAGTTGGTACCAACTTGATGGCACTTAACAACAATAATGAGACCCTAGGCATCATGGTGTGGCTCTGTAGGATAGGCACTCTGACCACAAGGTTGGTAGATTAAGCCCACCAGCCATTCTTCGGAAATCGTATACAGGGTCA